TAAAGGAATTTTCGTAAAAAATCATTTTCTGCAACTTGAAAACATTACCAAAAAATGCTGTTTTTGGCACTTGTTAAAACAAGATACTATTGTCTGCACTTGTTAGGAAAATAGCAAAAAGCTATAGTGTAATGTAATAATAATATGTATAACAAAAGCAAAGTTTGCAAACATTATTGAGTAGGTAATTGAATTAATGAATTTTGTAAACAACTAAATGCAATTTATTTATTAGAAAAATTACAAATATTAATCTATTTGCATGATAAGACCTTTTATATTTTTCCCGTCATCAATTTTTCTATTAATCATTACATTCCTTAATAATTTAATCATCAGTCTCCAATTTATCTTGTATACAAATACCTCTAATAATACTGAAATATATTCTAATCCAAACAAAATAAAATACTTTAACGTCAATTTGGCAACGCAGCACTTCTCGCCTTAATTAGAATGGTTTCGTGGTTCCCGCCCAAGGTTCCTTAAGTAGGTTGCCTGGTAATGGGTAACTTGAAGACGCATCTGGGTTGCCTTATGGAGATTTGCATTATGTTGAGGCACCCCGGATGACGTCATAAAGTTATCAGGCAACCTACTTCTCTCAAACAACCTTGGTTCCCGCCAACATACATACTTATTTTGTTCCAATTTTTTTTTCGGGAATGTAATAGGTCTGTTTCTGCATAAATCACAAACCAGTCAGAGTGAATTTCATTGGTTGAAACTAGTTTTCTGACTGTTTTCAACCAATGAAATTCGCTCCGACTGGTTTGCGATTTCTGCAGAAACAGACCTATTATTATTCTATCATATCTTCGACTCAGATAGAGTGGTTATTGTATCAATAATCGGCAAAAGCTCATTTAACACGTCTGCTTTAAAAATGAAATTAATTGGAGGAATATTTTCCTTGGGAGAGGACTGGTTTGTGATTTGTGACCTTAGATTGCTAGTAGGTCTGTTTCCTCAGAAATTACAAACCAATCAAGAGTATTTTTGATTGGTTATTGGTCCAAGTCGACAACAACCAGTTTCCTGACTATTTCAACCAATGAAATTCGATCTGACTGGCTTGTGATATCTGTGAAAACGGACCTATCGACAAAAAACTGCTCTGACTCCACTCCAATTACGTGCAGTTATTCAATGAAATATGAAACGCAGCTAATTTAAACTGGAATTCACCCACATACCGCTAAATGTCACCAGTGTCACCTGTCCCAAGTAATCATACGAAAACACAATTTATCAATGGATAAAATAATAACAATTTCCACTATAATAATTATTGTAATTACTAATTATTGTGCTCTGTGAGCTGTAAAAACGTCAAGGTATAACTAGCCAAAAATGTCGTTGTTAAAAAACGCATTCGAACTTCCTAATTTGGATAATCTATTGTAAGTACCTATACTAGGAACTACCAATTAGGTATTTTTCAATTGTAAAAAATTTAATTTATCAACTTATATATTCACAAGATTTAGCTTATCAACTGATTTAATTAGACTGTATAATGGAATGTGTAGGTTCCTATGTGTCCAGACTCTTGAATAGATCCCATCGGCTGTTTTCACTCTATCATATTGCCGGTATTTGTTTCTATTAAGGTATCTTTTTATCCTTGATTTTTTTTACCTTGACTGCGCGGGCAGCTAGAGGATCGCAGGTGAGCGTCATATTCACATTCAGAGGTGAGTTCAAACTTTGGGCACGAGTTTGGGTATTTTTTGAGCATGTCAGCATGTCCTTGGGTTATTAGCTACTACTGAAAAGAATCTAACACATCACACATCGTATTTTTTCACAAATTTCCACTAAATTCACAACTAGAGCTTTTTTCATTAAATATCCACAAAGCATACAGGGTTATCCGGAAATAATGCAACAAAATGTGTCCAAAGATTCTTAAAAAAAAGGACCTGTATTTTTGATTTTTCTCAAATGCCCCCCCCCCCCTTTCGCAGTTACAGCCTCTTAAAATTTGCCCCCAAGATTGATATTTTTCTTATTTCTCAGAACCCTATTGTACCAGAATAACTATGTTTGGCACACAGGGGTTTAATGACAGAAAAATTTCTAAATTAAATGGGCCATCTAACTCAATATTATTTTTTGAAAAATTAAAATACACAACCAAAGTTTCAAGTTCGGTTTTGAGGCTCCAAAGATAGGAGGGACACGAAAAATTGTCTTAAAATGGGGTCTTCCGTCTAAAAGCGTAGCACCATCTAATTCTTCATGTCATAAAATCCCTGCCTACCAAACACCAAACATAGTGATTCTCGTACAACAGGGTTCTGAGAAATGAAAAAAATTAATACTATTCTTAGGAGCGAATTTTAGGAGGCTGTAACTCCAAAACAGGGGGCGCTATTCACCATAAATAAAAAATAGGGGTCCCCTGTTTTGTTTTTTTTTTTTCAAGCATCTTGGAACAAATTTTGTTGCATTTATTTTCGAACACCGTGTATATTTTCAGGTTGAGTCCAAATCTTTGGTGAGGTGATGCTTGGGGTGATGGCTTTTTGCGAAGTTTCATCAGTACCTACCTCACTCAGTACCTACTCATTAACTTAACGTTCTCAATAATAATTGAAAATAAACTTAGGTAGTACATGCAACCAGGGGCGTCGCGTCGGGGGGGGGGGGGTACTGGGGGGTAATTACCCCCCCCCCCCAGGATCGAATTATCAAGAGAAAAATCACGATGCCAAAAAGAAAATACATAATATATTGAAGAAAAAACATTTTTGTTTTGTTTTATTTTTTTCACAAATGAAATAATTGTTCTGGAAAAGTTAATGACCTTGAAATTTGCGAAAAATTTCGCCTGCGGCGCATTTTTGGAGGGCGCCCCCCGTACCATTTACCCCCCCAGACTACTGGTCACGCGTCGCCACTTCATGCAACAAGAGCTTGGCGGGAACCACGAAACAATTTATATCCGGCGTTGCCATTTTAGGCATTCCAATGTTTGAACTGGAATCGCCTTTTTATTGTAGAACTTATAATTTGATTATAGGTAGGCATTGACTGCTTATTGTTGAATAAATTGAAAATTGAATAAAATTGGAACTACAAATTTTGCATTTTGAAGGAGTATAAATAAATATTTTTTTCCTACGAGCAAGCACTGGCTTTTTGAGGAGTGGAAAGTCGATTGTTCTGCTGCGGGGCGGAATTTTTTTTATTTTCCCATCAAGTTTGGTTTATATACCATTTTTCTACGACTGCTCTAGAAAACTATTAAAAACGCAAAACGCACTACTAACTTACATAGAAAATTAATTATTCCGCACAGTGTGCGAAAATTACTTTTCACACGCTTCATGTGTGCGAAAAGTACTTTTTCTACGACTGCTCTAGAAAGCTATTAAAAACGCACTACTAACTTACCTGGAAAATCAATTATTCCACACAGCGTGCGAAAAGTAACTTTTCACGCGGTTTTGCGTGCGAAAAATACTTTTCACACGCTAAAATAAAAATGACACTTCTACTGAATTTTTGTTTTGCAAGTAACTCTGAGTGCATTCAACGTACGTACCAAAATGGTTCGTTGATTATGACCCTAAACTAACCCAAACTTCCGCACGCAAGTGCTATTTTCAACACTTGTTGCACAATATACTATTTCACGTGCTCCGGAGAGTGCGAGAAGTACTTTTTGCATGCACGCTAAAATTAAAATGACACTGAATTTTTGTTCTTTAACTCTGAGTGCATTCAGCATACGCACCACCATTGTTCGTTTATTATAACCATAAATAATATTTTTTTATTATTTTTTCACCAAAAACAAAAACTTTATGCACCAATTTCAATGTGAATTTAGTTATGTATTTCGCAGTCGTAGAAAAATTATAGTGCGTGGTAAAAGTGTTATTTTCAACACTTGTTGCATAATATACTATTCTCGCAAGTGTTAGAAACACAACAGGGCGTGCTCTTTGTGTATGCCAAAAGTTTTTTTTTTCCGCACCGCACGCTCGTAGGAAAAAACGGTTCATCTGAGTTTCAGTTGTCAAGAAAATGACAGAGATTCGGCAAAATCCAAATCTTCTAATACCCAAACAAACTAGCATCTGCAAAAAACTTTTTTTCTATGACCATTGAAAAATAAAGAACTCGTCAAAAATGTCAAAAATCATTTTCTGCGACTTGAAAACATTACCAAAAAATGCTGTTTTGGGCACTCGTTAAAACAAGATACTATTGTCCGCACTTGTTAGGAAAATAGCAAAAAGCTATAGTGTAATGTAATAATAATATGTATAACAAAAGCAAAGTTTGCAAACATTATTGAGTGGGTAGTTAAATTAATGAATTTTGTAAACAACTAAATGCAATTTATTTATTAGAAAAATTACAAATATTAATCTATTTGCATGATAAGACCTTTTATATTTTTCCCGTCATCAATTTTTCTATTAATTACATTCCTTAATAATTTAATCATCAGTCTCCCATTTATCTAATATACAAAAACCTCTAATAATACTGATAATGTCTAATCCAAACAAAATAAAATACTTTGACGTCAATTTGGCAACGCGGCATTATGTTGAGGCACCCCGGATGACGTCATAAAGTTATCAAGCAACCTACCTCTCTCAAACAACCTTGGTTCCCGCCAACATACATACTTATTTTGTTCAAATTTTTTTTTTTCGGGAATGTAATAGGTCTGTTTTTGCATAAATCACAAACCAGTCAGAGTGAACTTCATTGGTTGAAACTAGTTTTCTGACTGTTTCTGACTGTTTTCAACCAATGAAATTCGCTCCGACTGGTTTGTGATTTCTGCAGAAACAGACCTATTATGGTTGTTTCCACCAACTATTTTAGGGGAGCCCTAACGATAAGTATTCCCTAAAATGACATTTTTACATAGAGAAATGTCAGTTTAAGGCATACCTACCGTTAGGGCTTCCCTAAAATAGTTGGTGGAAATGGCCATTATTATTCTATCCTTTCTTCGACTCAGATAGAGTGGTTATTGTATCAATAATCGGCAAAAGCTCATTAAACACGTCTGCTTTAAAAATGAAATTAATTGGAGGAATATTTTCCTTGGGAGCTGACTGGTTTGTGATTTGTGACCTTAGATTGTTAGTAGGTCTGTTTCCTCAGAAATTACAAACCAATCAGAGTGTTTTTGATTGGTTATTGGTCCAAGTCGCCAACAACCAGTTTCCTGACTATTTCAACCAATGAAATTCGATCTGAATGGCTTGTGATATCTGTGAAAACGGACCTATCGACAAAAAACTGCTCTGACTCCACTCCAATTACGTGCAGTTATTCAATGAAACATGAAACGCAGCTAATTTAAACTGGAATCCGCCCATATACCGCTAAATGTCACCAGTGTCAACTGTCCCAAGTAATCATAAAAAAACACAATTCATCAATGGATAAAATAATAACAATTTCCACAACAAAAATTATTGTAATTACTAATTATTGTGCTCTGTGAGCTGTAAAAAGGTCAAGGTATAATTACCCAAAAATGTCGTTGTTAAAAAACGCATTCGAACTTCCTAATTTGGATAATTTATTGTAAGTACCTATACTAGGAACTACCAATTAGGTATATTTCAATTGTAAAAATTTGATTTATCAACTTATATATTTACAAGATATGGCTTATCGGCTGATTTGATTAGACTGCACAATGAAATGTGTATGTATGCAGACTCCTGAATTATTAGTTTAATCTATCCTTAGTATCATTTCAAGTACATAGAGTTTAATTTTGCTAAATTAAGCGCATGGAGATTTTTTGAGTTCCAACAGCCAATCAAATTTTGTTATTTTTTGTCATGTGACACAAATCATCCAATCATTTCGACATTATAGTGAAAACAGATCCCCTGGGCTGTTTTAAGGTATTTTTTTTACCTTGACTCCCTGGGCAACTAGAGGGTGGCAAGTGAGCGTCCAATGATCAGGGATTTATCAAGCCAAGTAGCTTGAATTTTTTCTTAAATACTTGACTTGACTTGAAAACTCAAGCTTTTTGAAAATTTTATATTTGACTTGACTTGATTTTCGGACTGAACTACTTGAATTGACTTGATATCAAGTAAAATCAAACTACTTGATATTACGTGATAGCGATCTGTGAAATGCGCATCGAAGCGTTAAAATAGGGGAATCACCGAGGTTACAGCCAGGCCCATTCCTGGGGGTTGCAACCCAAATTTCCCAACTTTGTATTAACTTGATAACCATACTCATTACATACTCCTGACTCCTAGTTCAATAAACTAAAAATAATTGAAATACATAATAACGGTGGCGGCTATAGGATTTGATCTTGGGGGGTGGGGCAAGAATTCAGGATATTTAGTATTTTTATTTTATATTATTTCATTTATTATTTAACTGTGTTTGTTAGAGGCGTTAGAGTTTTCGGTTTTAGATGTTTTTTAAATAAAATATTACATCTATATACAGGGTGTCTCATAAGTCACGGTCCAAACTGAAACGGGTGATAGAGGAGGTCATTGCCGACAAAAAAATACCCTATGTTTATGTTACTATACAATTCTTCACGGTTTTCAAGATATTCGAATTTTATTGATTTTACTAAACATGGTTACATTGGTTAAGAAAGGAAATTTGCAAGTAGAGTATAAAAAAAGTATTAGAGATTTTCAGACCAATGTGGCCATAATTGAATAAGGATAAATCAGGGTAGTTTTAACACATATGGGTCACCTTTTTTCATCATTGTTTTCTAAATTATTATCATTTGAACTTTTGCCGTGAATTGAATGGAACAAAAATAAGATAGAAAAACTCCCTTCAAGTTCTTTAGCAAAAAGACAAAACTTCACATACTTATGAAAGCTTAAAGACAGACATTCCTGCTCATAATTAGAAAAAAAAATCAATCATGGACTCGTTGGTTTTAATCAATGTAACCATGTTTGTTAAAATCAATAAAATTTGAATATCTTGAAAACCGTGAAGAATTGTATAGTAACATATAAGGTTTTTTTTTTGTCGGCAACCACCTCTATTACCCCTTTCAGTTTGGACCGTGACTTATGGGACACTCTGTTTACATAGATTGCTATTGCGTTTTGGCAGTTAATCAGATTAATATCATAAAAGTACTATTTTTTCAAGAAAAATCAAGTACCTAGTTAGCTTGTAAACCTTGATTTTCAAGTTACTTGATTTGTAACTACTTGTCAGTAGTCAAAAGTCAAGTAGCTTGAAAATCAATTCAAGTCGTGAATCTCTGCCAATGATAAGCGAGTTTGTCACGTGCTTGCGTCATATTTGAGTTCCAACTTTGAGCATTTTTTGAGCATGTCCTTGGGTTATTAGGTACTACTGAAAAAACTAACGAATCGTATTATTTTACAAATTTCCACTAAGTCCACAACTAGAGATTTTTTCAATAAATATCCACAAAGCATTATACAGGGTTGTCCGGAAATAAATGTACCAAAATTTTTTCCAAGATTCTTAAAAAATTAAAAATAGGGGACAGGGGACACATATTTTTTATTTTTGTTAAACGCGGGCTTGGAGTTACAAGTTACAGCCCCCTAAAATTCGCCCCTAACAATGTTATTTTTTTTATTTCTCAGAACCCTATTGTACCAGAATCACTATGTTTGGTACACAGGGGTTTTATGAAAGATTTCTAAATTAAATAGGCATTCTAAGTCAATAATATTTTTTGAGAAATTAAAGCACGCAACCAAAGTTTTGAGGCTCCAAAGAAAGATAGGGGGGGACGAAAAAGTGTTTTAAGGGGGTCCTCAGCCTAAAAGCGTAGCACTATCCAATTCTTCATGTCATACAACGGGGGGCCATTTACCAGAAACAAAAAATATTGGTCCCCCGAAGGGCCCCCCTTTTTTTTCAAGACTCTGAACAAATTTTGTTGCACTTATTCCCGAACACCCTGTATATTTTCAAGTTAAGTTTAAATCTTTTTTTTGGTAAGGTTATGCTTCGGGTGACGGCTTTTTGCGAAGCTTCATCAGTACCTCAAAATTCAAAATTCAAAATAGTTCATTGGTGTTATAAATACAATTCTACCGTACACAAGTCAATATCGTCACAACCCCTATAAGTCGTCGTTTCGTCCTGGGACGGCACAACAGGAGCGTGGCCTGGGGGCGTAGGTGGGGTTCAGGTAGAAAGAAATTCGCTTGGTATAGGTATAATAAGATAATGTATAGAATAATAATAATATTACCCTAGAAATAGTATCATGACGTCTCTTCTACGGAGGGACGTACTACTTATAGGCCACTCTGTATTATGTACACTCTGTACACTTGGCGTGACTGAAGACTGAAGCTGGGTTTGAGACAGGTCCAAAAGGGCGTTTCCCGATAAAGGTAGTTTGCACTGGACCTAGTCTGCTGCGTTCAATACTCCCAGAAGGGCGTTTCCCATTGAAGGTAGTTTGCACTGGGAGGAGACTAAGCTAGAAGGGCTTTTCCCATTTGAGGTACTTTGCACTAGCCTCAGTCTGCCGGTAATGAATGGATTTCGGCGCGGTATTTATACCAAATTAATGTTGACTCACTCGTCCACCCACTCTGGTAAAATTGATGTACAGAGTGGTATTTACTTGAGTAGTTGACAATATAAATAAATCTTACATTTATCATAAAAGTTACGCTGAGTAGTGTACATATCATTATTTTTAAAAAAAGAGACCGATAAATGCTAAAATTACAGTGACTAATACTAAAGTTAAAATAACGACCAAAAGTCAATTATATAAATTAAAATAAAATAAAAACAATTATCACATTCACAGGTGAAACTGCATTAAAAAAGACAAAACCTATACATATTACGACAAACCTATTATTACACATTAAAATTAAAATTCATGACTCAAAAACTCTGTAAAACTATAAAATCCTTGACTACACAGGAAGCCCTTTATTCTTTGCTTGAACTGTTTCCCTGGTAGGCTCTTGAAGGAACTAGGTAACTTGTTAAAAAAATGGATTGAGAAACAGCTGGGACTACTCCTGCACCTCTCAAGCCGATGGTAATTTGGTACCAGACAATGTCTGTTACGAGTGTCATAATTATGAATAAACCCAGGTTACTACTCAACTACACAAGGCACTCATATATGAATAGACATGGAACAGTCAGAATATTGTTATCTATAAAAGCCTGCCTACAATCTTCTCTGTAAGACTATAAGACAACCCTGCCAATACACGAACCGCTCTCCTCGGAAGACTAAAGACTCTTGTTGCTCCTGCACTATGACCCCATGCAATAATAGCATAGGAAATATGGCTATGCACCAATGAAAAATATGCTTGCTTAAGCACGGCATGCGACACAGAGACAGTTAGACCACGCAGCAAAAATACATATGAAGCGAGTCTAGAGCACATGGCATCAGTATGGGCATCCCAGCGTCATTAGAAGCTTTTTTGGCCGATTTTATTGCTTTTTTATAGAATTTCCTGTGTGACTTGAAAACATTTTTCAGTTCAATGCCTGTGTTATTAGTAATATTAGTGTGTAATTCTCTCAAAAACTGTAAAGTGTCACGCATTTGTCGAAGATCTGCATTAAACCAATTTGTAGTGTGACTTTGGTTCATACTTTCAAGACAAGGTTTAAGATGTTGTTTAATAACACGTTAACTGCCGCACTAGAGTAAAAAAAAAGTTTCAAGGGGGCCACCAATATATTTCTTTATTCTCAGATTATGTTAAGTGGCTAAAAAAATCCAAAATAGTCTCGAGAGTTCAAGTTACCCCCGTGAATCATAAAAAATTCGCGCAGCCTCAGAAGCAAAATGATAGCTTCTAGGCCACGTGAATTATAGTACAAAGTACCTACATACATATTTTATTTATTTTTATATCATAAATAATGATTTATTTTAAGCACAGGAACTAACAAAAAATCAATCAAATAATAAATACTTGTTCCATTAATTGTTTTTTTTTTTTTAATTATCTCCACCTGAACTTAAAACGCATGGCTGTATCTCTAAACCGCAGGCCACACTTTTTAAGATCCCATATGCTGGCCACGGTCGCGTGCATTACCTGCTATGCACCCAGCCTCAGAAACAAAAACGCTTTGGAATCATATATGAATCACACGGCCCTCTAAGCTCAAGGCCGTGTGAATCATATTTAATGCATATGGCAGTTAACGTGCTGGAGATGAAGTATCGAATACCGAAGAAATATGATGAATGAGTAATGCAAATTTTTCATTCGTGGAAAGATCCATGCTATCAACAAAATCCCAAAAAATTTGATCAAATGACATGTAAAAAAGAATCCTACCCTGCTGAGTTATTGGTCTATATATGACAGTCTCAGTGGTGGACGTTGCATATTTTTGAGGTACAGGAAAGTTTACCAACTGTCCTCTGTGATCTGACAGTCCCGTTTCAATAACTTAGAATTGTATCCATCAGCACCAAAGCTAGGGAACCCATTGTCCAAACAACTGTCCTGCCGAGTCGGTTCGAAAATGAGTTTAGTGAACCCATATGAGTCCAGCAAAGAGCAAAGATCAATGTACTCACGCAAAGTGGTATCAAAATGTACATTAAAGTCACCTGCTAATAACATATTTCTACTCAAACCTGTCAAGTTTATCGCATTTTCTATAACCTCCAAAAATGTATAAAAACAACCTGAGGGAGGTCTATAAAAAGTTATTACATGAACATTTAAATCAGTCAAAAAGACAGAACAGATTTCTATATTATTCACTACAGTCGAGGATTTTACTTGTAAAATTTCTTTAGACAGTACATTGATATTCAGAAGGATGGCTGCTCCCCCTCTCCGGACGTCGGACCTGCTGTAGGATGTAGACAGTACATACCCATTTATGCAGAGAGCCGAAATTTCACTTGTTGACATCCAGTGTACCTTGGTACCTACTCATTAACCTAGCGGTCTCAATAATAAATAGGTACATTCAGGCGGTCCCAGCGGCTAAGCTCAGCCACTCAGCAGGGATTTTATTTTCGAAACCAAGGAACAGCGTTCTCATAAGAACGATTGCTCTGTCATTGTCAGTGTTATGCCGGACGACAAAGACAGAACCTCCGTTCCAATGAGAACGCTGCTCCCCTGTTTCGAGAATCAAGTTCCTGCTGAGTGGCTGAACTAAGCCGCTGGCACCGCCTGAATGTACCCATTGAAAGTAAACTTAGGTAGTACATACTTGTTTTGTTCAATTTTTTTTTGTGTGAATGTATTATTCTTCTATCCTTTCTACAGGAAACATCAAGGAATCGACTCAGATAAAGTGGTTATCGTATCAATAATCGGCAAAAGCGCATTCAACGCGTCTGGTTTAAAAATTAAATCAATTGGACGAATATTTCCTTTGGGAGAAGATGAAAGGCCAAATAAGGTTTGTACTGCAGTATGTATTAAGGAGAACTTATTTTCCTATTCTTTTGTTTATCAATTTTAGACTTGTATTAAAGGATCTTATGACGAGAAACGCCAAATAGTCTATCTGCATTTATTCAGTCTTCTGGACACTGACGTTTTTATAGAAAGTATCGGAGGTTTTAGTGACGACGAAGACGTGCCTGAAGATTTTGATTTTCTGTCCGCGTACGACGAAATCCAAAGTGAATTTAGCAAATATCTTCTGTTCTTGTTATATGTGAGCCATATTATCATTGTATCACATCCTGGAAGCTCTTTTGATACTAGTTACATTCAGTATTTTAAAGCTGTGGACGCATTGAGGTAAATAATGGAAGAACAAATTGAACAAGTTGCTCTAACTCACTAGTTTTAGCCAAAAAATATTAGGTAAAATTTGCAACAGTTTAAAGGCACAAGATAACTTAAACTCCGTTTGGGTGGCTAATGGAAGACTGTGTGTTCCAAGGATGCTTTTCTATTTTGAAAGATCAAACACCAAGAACAAAGACATCATCAAAAAATTGGAGCATAATTTGGAAGATAAAATTTATCACATCTTAAAAAATACAGGGATAGTTAAAACAACTAGGTAGGAATTGTTGCGTTTAATTTTATTCTATGTATTTATGAATTTTTAGCTGTTCTTTATTTGCAATTCCATTAAACAACGACTTTGTTTACGTCGAAGAAGCAGCTCCAAAGGATCCGCTAACCGAAGCTGTTAGAGGATTAGTGCAAGATTGTATGCCAGGTGCCTCAACGCAAATGAAGGCTCCATTTTCTACTGAACCGAGTTCCGAAAAAAATTTTTTAAAGTTTTTACATGTTCACGTTCAACAAGCTAAGGACACAGGATTTGACGATACTGTGGCTTCTTCAAGACCCCAGCATGCTCCTGCATATTTTGTGGTAAGTTTGATGTTTTATCGGGTTATTTGGAACTAATCAATTTTTTTTAGTTACCAATTTTAGGTCAATGGATCGCAGTTGCGCAATGCCTCTTCAATTTAATCATCATAGAAGAACCGCCAATAACCTCCGTATGCACTGCCACACGCTTTTCCGAACAAAGATGCCTTAAAGCCCTATCTCTAGCTACTGCTAAGTATCAAGAACGTTTACCGCCGCATTATTCCAAATCCGAACACGAAGCCAGATTAGCTATAGCTTTCCGTCTATACAAGACTGAAGCTAGAGGCCCCAAATGTGCTCAGTACGAGCTCCAATTGGAGGAGGAGTGTCAAGCGCTTTGGGAGAATGGCAGACAACAATGTACGGCTACTTCTTTGACTGGGAACCAATGCAAATTGCAAAAGCACGAACCTGACCAGGAACATACTAGTGGATTTATATACAGATGTGGGTTTTTTTATTATTTTGTGCTTGCTCAGACTAGATATTTGTTTCCGAAAGCTAGAATTTGTGAGAAGTTTGTGTCACCCTTCAATAGGCCAAATTTCTTAGGGCAATTCCTAGTTTTTGGAGATCAGTCCTTATCTCTGCAGGCTGGGCTGATCTAAATTTGATTTTTATCCTTGTTGGTTTTTGACAACCCAAAACGGTTCCTGTAATGTCAGTTTTTGGGTTTCAAAGTTATAGTACAGGGCCTATCCATCGTTTTATATGGGTAACGTTCAACAAATTAGAAAAGCTGAAATTGGGTAAGAGACTTTGCTTTAGGGTACTAAATACCCTCTGAAACCTCAGCGCCGAAGCGTTGAGCCCGTCACCGCAAAATCACCCCATGAGTGGCGTGAAATCTACCTTTTTTTACATTTTTCTGGATAACTCCAAAACTAAGCATTTTAGGAAAAAAATGTCATGAGGAAAAAAATGTCATGAGACAAAAATTGTAGAGAAGGAAATTTCCTACCAAATAGATATACATCAGTTTCTTCTAGATGTTCAGTGGCGTAGATACTAGGTATTTAATTAAAGGGATTTTTCTAAAAACCCCACCTATTTATTTTTAACCTATCTATAAAGGAATCATTCCGTTTAAGAAGTGTCATTCATAACTTTGGTCATACCATACATCTCAAAGGTGACAGTAAAAAGTGACAGAGGATAAAAACTCGCGCAAAAGATAAAAATAGTGTTAAGGTCAGTTTCTCAATAGAGAGTCTCCTCCGGGTTCTAGTTGCAATGCAGTTATGCTTAATCCGGGGGTGAATTTCTATTGAGAAACCGGCCCTAACTTTTTTGCAATATCGCAAAAAACTTGACATTTTCCCGCTGCGGTACAAATTTTAAAATTCCGCCTCCAACAGTTTTCGAAAAAAAAAATATATTTTGGTTTTTGTCATAGGAAACAAGATGTTAGAAAGTGACCTTCCTCATTTTCCTTCCAGATATAAAGTTCCTTTCTAACACATTTTTTCTTATGAAAAAAAAAAAAAAAACGAAATAATTGTTTTCTCGATAACTGTTAGAGATAAACCTATCGAAATTTGTATCATTTTAATCAGCAAAAGCAGAGCTTTCTAATGAGCTATTAAAATATTTATAGGGTGTTAACGTCACTGAATTCTGTGTAAAAGAGTGCTTCAATAAAGTTTTTACGGAATTCAATTATTTTCATAAACAAAAAAGGTTTCACAGTATTGCTCAAAATCAAGAATCGCCCTCTTATCTAGCGGCTAAACGGTTGAAAATATCAAAAAACGGTTTGCACCGTCCAAATTCGGACACCCTGTTCATGTAAGCGAATGGATCTTAGCTGCTCTATGGCATGTGACCAATGCAATGGCATTACTTGTATGACCCCAGAAAAAGTGGACGTAGAAGGAGACTGTTCTTAAGATTCATTTTCTTTTTTTTCCTCCTAATTAAATACTTTCTATCTACGCCACTGAACATCTGAAAAAAAATCATGTGTGCCTATTTGAAGAGAAGAAGAAATTTTCTTCTCTACAATTTTTCTCTCCTGACATTTTTTCCTAAAATGCTTAGTTTTGCAGTTATTGGGAAAAATGTAAAAAAAGGTACGTTTCACCCGACTCAAGGGGTGGTTTTGCTAGAAGCTGGGGTTTCAGAGGGTATTTAGTACCCTAAATCACAGTCTTCTACCAAATTTCAGCTTGTCTTTAATTCCTTGAACATCATCCTGTATGGTCCCTGTACTATTATTGTCTCTGGCAAAGTCAAGCAATTTGGTCACTTTTCCAGCTGCCTGTAACTGTGGTCGAAAAATCAGCACAAGGGACGACCCATTTACAGCGATACAAGCAAACTGCCTATTCTACCAAAGCATGGCTGATAAAGAATGTGACTGTTCCGATCTAGGACATATGGAATTTCCAATTTTTGAGCCGTTCAATGAGGAATTTGAAGCCGCCGCGATTCAGGAACCTGATGAAGCAATGTCCGTTTTACCCGCGATTCAGGAAACTGATGAAGCAGTGTCCGTTTTACCAGATAAAAGTGTTCCTCATACTCCTGCGGTAGGCCTTAGAGATTTCTTGAGTGTTTTGCTTAAAATTTGAATTTCTTTAGAAAAAAGGGCAAACTAGCACCATGGAACATTTACCAGGAATGTTAACGTTAACTTCACAACCAGGACTACGTCCGCTGTTTTCCAGTTGGGCTGTGACGCGCTTGGGACCCTCTTCCATGTACAATCACAAATTCGGTAAATAACAAAAACCTGAGCTAAAATCTTATTATCGACCAAATAGGGTAGTGGACAAGGTATAATTTCAATGAAATCGATGATCTATTCTTCATCTATGAAGTAAATAAAAAATATTCGTATTAAAAGAAATTTCAAATAAAATTACTAACTTTGTTTAAAACGGTTGTGAAAATAGAGTTTTGAGATGCACTATTAAACGGAAATATTTCGCGCCTTGATTCTACGTTATAGCTGTTGTATTTGGGTATGAATTAAATCAAACCTACGTCCGATATTTGACACAAACTTACTCAAAAAGAGATACATAAACAACATAACCCCACTTTTTGAGAGATTTCCATTTGTCAATCAGTACGCCCTGAGTTTATCGGCATCTTTTTTTAAAAGCATGTAAAATATAAGGACGCGCAGACCGCGTTCTCACTACTCTTATTGATTGTCGGAATGCCTTGACGCTATTGGAGATAACAGCTATGACGTAATTTCCCGGCGGTAAATTATAGCGTTTAAAATAAGTACAAATTTGTTAATATTTTTGACGTATATTTTGGTTGTCTAAAATCAAAGAATCATCAACTACTGTTTATTTTGTTATGAAGATTATTAAAAAAAATATTTCAAAATATTGTCCACTACCCTATTAGCAGTGACCTAGAAATTAACTGATCAATTCAAACATATAGGTTTATCTTACTCCGCTCATCCTGGATTTTTGAAATCGACCAACTATCTTCTTCCCTGGGAGATAGCATTTGCATTCAGCCACGCTTGGCCAGCTGTTGGAAAATATCCTCCAGATAAACATGGAAGACCAATAACTTGCAAGGTTTTCATTGGAGTCGAATATGAGTGTTCTTATGGTCATAGGTTTGTTTAATGATACAAAAGTATATTCAGTAATTTTGCTATTTTCAAAAAGTTCATAGAGGAATAAAAACTCTCACTATTCTATTTGTAATTTGTGTAATTTTTTTTTGTGATAAAAATTTTGCCTTTTCAGGTTTATGCTCTCTGCTCCAGATAAAATGTTAAAAGTAGCACCTGGTTGTATGGTAAAAGAGACCGGTAATGCAATTGCAGATTCTGACCTACCTTTGTATTTTCTTTGTACTTGTCAACCAGGAAAAATGGCACAACTTATGAGGCTCCATGTGGTCACTCCAAAAGCTGAGATTTTTTGTTCTTTCAATCCGAGAGTAAGAATTTTTTTATAATTTTGTAAATAAAATTACTTATTATTAACTCGTATGTAAATTATTGTTAATTTGAACACGATAATTCTAAGTCCTATGAGGGTTGATAAATTTGATCAGAACGCTTCCTATTGGTGTGACATCGCTAGAATCTTTTACACCTTTCTGAACATGAAACATTCCATTATCAGTTTTGATAGATGCTTTCCTTCCAAATTCAAGAACACTGTGGTATGTTTTCTCAAATAGAAATGATTTAATAGACTATCTATATAAAATGCGAGTGTATTAATGACCATTACATGAGAGTTGCATACACTATTTTTTCTACTTGCATTAATGAACGAAAAACATATTTATTTTATAAGAATAGTAAACTTCTCAACTGGTGACAATTGTTGACAACTTGGCAATTTCAAAAATTAAGATCTAGACGTCATTTGGGCATAAATTCCGCACCCGATTTAATAATTTTTTGTTGTTTCTTCTGGTAAATACTAATAAAAACAATCCAAAATTCCGAAGCAAGTCTGTTATTTTTATATAAACATTGTTCATGTTCAAAATACTCAATTCCAGTGGCTGAAAAATCTGTATCATGATGAAAATCTGTATCATATGAAGTTCATTATAAAACAGATTTTAGGCGTATTATGAAACGTCAGTAGAAAAAATATACTTCAACAGCTGACCGGCTTATGGGAATTTTTTTTCTGGTTCCTAACGATATCAAATTTAATTCTGTTGATTGCCATAAGCGAGAAAACGATCAGCATTGGAGTATCCTTTCACAAGATCGCGCATTTATTTCAACCATTTCAGTACGTGCAAACCTTATGGCTTTGGTTTTTGGTTTTTCAAATTGTTCTATGAGGTTTATGCTTTAAAATGACGTGGAAGAGAAATTGAAAAAATAACCTATTTTCTTCTGCAACAGGAAAATTGATTTTCCATATGCCTAGCAGACATCCGGTCGCTGAATTTTCATTTTTTGAGCTCAGCACTGACATAATTTTCAGTGGTTGGAATACCTGAAGGGAGAAAATCGGTCCGCAAAATCTGTCATTAACTGACGGTCTATAAGTTGTTTGTTAGTTTTACCAACAAAGTTCTACTATGCTTGCAATAGAAGTCTAAAACTATTATTTCTATAAATTGTTTAAGGTTCAACCAGGCGCCGGAGCTCCGATTTTCATTAGCTGTGAAAGACGGATTAGACTAGCCAAATCATCTTACTGGGTAATGAGACTTCCATTTGCTTATGTCGCCGATAAGGAACGTTTTACCCAAGATTTGACTGGGAAATTGTTGCAAGGAGCTTTTGGTGTAATTAGAGATCCTCCTAAACCCTAATTCATTATCCCTCCTGTTTTCAATTTTAAAGTGAAGGTAAGTTTAAAACATTTACAAGTTGACTTATAGATTTATTCTGCAATTGTTTCGGTAATTGGATATTGAAAAACATATCGTTAAAGTCTATACCTTTACAACTTCAAATTGAGACTTATCACAATCAAACTGAGAACAAAAATTTTCAAATTGAGATTAAACAAAATCAAATTGAGAACAATCAATTTCAAATTGGTACAACGTTCAATTACATGGAAACGGATATTGTACCAATTTGAAATTGATTGTTCTCAATTTGATGGTTTTAAGTCTCAATTTGATTTTGTTAATCTCAATTTGATTGTGATAAGTCTCAATTTGAAGGTGTAAAGGTATAGTAAGTCTCAAAACCAATTCTGGAAAAAATACCTAAATAAATAAAATCCCACTTAAACTGTTGGTACATAATTGTATAGGTATATTTCTTTTTTTTTTTTCGTTATTTGCACACATGATAATGTAATACTCACAGTTACAGAGGACACATAAATAACAAAAATTACATCCCAAACAGCAAATAAATAACGAATAGCTAATTGAGCATTGTATAAATTAAACGGATCTAGGAAGATAAGGATTTCCATTGAAAGCTGTACGCATTTAGGTATGAGAAAAGATGAAATTCTGAAAAATGCATTTTATTCAGGCTTATAGTAGATCATCAACAAATTCTCGGGGTAGATTTCTGCCTTAATTTTGAAATAGTTTTTATCAAGCAAGGATTCTGGCTTTTCAAGTATTTTGACAACTTGAGTTTGAGTGAATTATTTATTAGCTCAGTTGAGCATGCTTTTTCCCCAAATACATTTTTTATATTCAAGCGGTCTATTATTCAACTTTATTGTAGTCAAAATTTGACACAGAAGTGATTGATTATTGCCACGACCATACAAATTATGTGCCTGTCCGTTTACACAAAACGTCTATGTCCAGAGTGACATGATATTGATATGACTTTTACAGGAGAGCGGGTGTTATCCGTCTTTGTTACTTATACTATCATTTCCGTACCATTGAGAAAGACAGAACACTCGTTCTCCTGGGAACGCTGCTCCCCTGTTTCAAGAATAAGAACCCTGAAAGGAAGCATTGCGGTCCCTGGAAGATATAATGTTGTATGCCCAGAAGATTCTTTCGTCCTAATGACAACTATTATAATATGTAATAACTTGTGTTTTTTTTTTGTGCTCTTCAAAAAAGATCTCTTGAGAGTTTTCGAAAAATCCATAGTTTCCAAGATATTTGCTAGAATCAGATTGGCGGCCATAATGGTACATGGTACAACTTGCTATTGTGGGACTTCTAGGTTTTTCACGACATATTATGTTCCCATACTCCGCCTCTGAAAATTATTTCTTAATTTCCACCTTAACCCTTTCTTGAGCTAACTTTCCTGCAATACAAGTAGTCAAAACTCAATCAATCGTTTGAACACAATCCTCTATTCTATTGGTCAACATGTGACATCAAATAATATTCCATGAATATAATATACTCACCCTATACTGTACAACTACACAATTGCATTTGTGATTGTTTCTTATGGTTGTTTTTCCTCGCATTGTTTTTGTCTAAATGTGGATGCTTTAAGATGCAACAGCTTAACATACAAGAGTCGGTCCCAGGCTCGCACAGAGTTGTAAAGTTGTATATGAGATTTCAATTTTACTGCTGAGATTGAGAGATCATATCATTTTGTAGTACATACCACCCTTATATTATTACAGCATCATAAATCTTACCTATCTAAAGAATTTTATCATTACAGGATGATGGCTATAAGGCAATCAGAGAGCAGCATGAATGGATATCTGAATTTATTCTACAGAACTCGAAAAACTTTAAAATGGTTATTTGTCATGGCGGCCAAAAATTTAGTTTAGGTATAACTGATATTTATCTATTTGTGTTGTCAGTATAAATGTATTTTGTATTTTTGTATTCTTGTATTTTTGTATTCTTGTATTTTTGTATTCTTGTATTCTTGTATTCTTGTGTTCTTATATTCTTGTATTTTTATATTCTTAGAATTTTTGTATTTTTGTATTTTTAGATTTTGTAATTTAGAGATGTTTTTTTTTAAACCAAATAAAAGTACACCGATAGATTCCTAAAAAGAGACGCCTAAATCCTTTTAGAGAACCTCAGTTGCCTATATAGCTTAAGGAAAGAGACGAACCAATGTTTTCAACAAATCCTATTTTTCAAGGAACAACGTTTGGTTAGTAATCATAATACTTTCAACGTGCCTTCTGGTCAATATAACATGCCAAATCACAGTGCTACATATTCTGCTTTCCTGAGACAGGAAAGAAAAATTTGAACAATATTGACAGAAACGGGACATAGGACAACAGCTTCATCGTGTTAAAATCAGAACTCGACCACATTTTGTAATTTTGGGATACACGGACGATTACCTGCGCTTATGTGGTTCCAGCAAACAGAGTGAAATGTTTTCTTGTTCGCTTGAAAATTGGCTATAAAATTTTATTTTCATTTCTGTTTTAAGAATTTAGTTTCACTATTGTGGTATAATTTTTTGTTCAGAAATTTCCGTTTTGTTTGATAAATTTTTCATCTTTTACCTAAATGTTGTTTCAGCTTCACAAAATGGGTTAGATCCTGACCCGCCTAGCAATTGTATATTTTATGATAGTTGCAAAAACGTTTTCTGACAAAATTAAATTTGATCCCCTTTTTTTCTCAGAAATGCTTTTAATGTCAAATTTGATGAAGGTACTATTCGCTGCCTCCTACATCTACCAACTACATTGCTGGCAACGGCAATGAATACTCAATATTGTGGTTAAAATTATAGTGGCTTGGCCTCTCACAAAAAAATAGGACAGAAATTCATTGCATAGTGAAAGACTCTAATATCAAAGTCACTTTCAAGTGATTGTTTTAAAACTTCCTCGTCTTTATGTTTCCAGAGTTTTGTTGTGTCATCACTCATCCGCGAAAATCACAAAATCTTCCAGAACTGGCAGAGCAGCAAGCCACGTTGACCCAGGAAGATATCCCTGGGGAACATTGTACGGCAAATTGGAATCTACTGAATCCTGCCTGCCCAAAATCCCCACTATCTGGTTTCTTGAGTTCTTGCTGGAGTGTAATTAACAAACTCAATTTTCTTCCCTTAACCCCGTAATGGCGTATTTTCCGCAACAGTATTTCGTGATTTAGGCAGTAGAATGCTTTCGAAAAATTACAAAACACTGCCGCGGCCCTATCGGTATCATTAAGGTCAAGAAAGAGTCTCTCAATGAGTGAAAAGATTGCTTCATTACAATTTTTTCTATAGTCTTGGACAGAGTAGTCAACAAAGCTATTGAGCGCTAGGCAGTCGGGTCTTCGCTGTTGCCGCCTTTAGGAATAGGAATGACTACTGAAGCAAAAGACTCATTTAGACAATCTGCAAATGCAGTTATAGCCGCGTCAGGCAAGTGTTGGAACACTTTTAGTGGCAAGTCATCAACTACAGAGGAATTTTGTTTTTTGATGATTCTCATAATTTTTGTCATCTCATTTTTCATCATCTATATGTTGTTGTTAGTTTAGAACCTTCAGTGGAGGACAACTCGAAGTTGGTCTTAAACCACTCCTTAGACTAGCTATAGCACAGCAGGCGTTATTTAAATCTGCAGAGTTAGTTTTTGAATTGATATTTTCTTATGTTTTCTTTATGAGGTTCTTGACTTGCATTACTCGCTACTTTAGTTTCTGTTATTTTCAATTTTTTGAGTAAAGGTGAATTCAGAACATTTACAAGTTGATTGTTGGTTCATAGATTTATTGTGCAATTGTTTAAATACCTACCTAATAAAATATTGAAATACACATGTATAAAGTCTATTAATTTTCGAAACCAATCCTGGAAAAAATATGTGAATAAATAAAATCCCAATTTAACTGTGGATACATAGTTTCATATATTTATATCCTTTAAAAATTATTTGCACACATGATTCCGTAATAGGTACTCTCTAACTTACAGAGGACACATTAATCAAAAAAACAAATTATATTATCACAAACAGCAAATAAATAACTAACAGCTAATTGAGCATTACATAAACTAAACAGAACTAGAAAAAAAGCATTTCCATTGGAAAATATACGTATTTAGTTATGAGCAAATATGAGATTCTAAATAATGCATTTCATACAGGGTGATAGTACCTACACAGAGCTGTCAGAAAAAGTATGTCTCAGTTACTGCATCTTAAATACTTTTAATTTTTTGGCAAAATTATCTAGTATCTTGTGGAAGCTTTATATATCTTGAAAAGTATCTCAGATACCGAAGAGTATTCTAGATATTAAAAAGTATTAGGTTAAGCAAGAATAGTTCCTTTTGACATTTACGTACGTTAAAACTTGTTCAAACCAGCAAGCTTGCATTTTTTGTTTTATGTGTTATTCATTTATACTAAGCTTTAGCCACACGTTCTGTGGAGAGAGGGTTACCGGCACTTCTAGTTCTAACAAGTAACAAGCAGTTTTGTTTGTTTTAAAGTTACGTCTGGCTGTTTGCAGCATCCGTTTAAAGAAAGCCTTGACGATAAGTATTCCTTAAAGTGACATTTCCCCAGAGTGTCATTTCAAGGAATGAAGGAATACATACTTTCAATTTTCAATAGAGTTTGGCCAAGCACTTGACTGTAAAATGTTGGATTAAACTTACACTTAAATCACAGGAATATTCAAATATACGTATTTCTATTTAAATAAAAGGAAATTATTTTATACTTTCTTCAACCATGTTCTCTGCACTTCTTATTATGTCCTGCACCCTGCACTTTATGGAGAAATACAGAAAGAAGCAATTAGGTAATTACTTTGTCTTGACACTATTTACTATTTTAGAATATAATGTTAAGTTAGCTGTGAAGCTGTAACCGAGGCTGTGACCCTGGTTTTTAAATAAATGTTCTAGCAATAGCTCAATTGGTTTTTCAGCCTGCTATTTGGAAAAATGTAATATTAAAGTTTTTTGAGATTCCTTTTTAAAAGGGTAACTGAATAACTCCAAATAATTTCCAAAAAAAAAAAAAAAACTGATCTAGTTACTAGTTATGTACTATCTAAGTTACTAGTATGTATTCTTGACAGCTCTGATAGTACATCAAGAAGTGGTGAATTCCTGAGTTAATTTTTGAAAACAATTCATTAAGCATGGTTTCTGGTTTTTTCAGCATTTCAAAAACTTTCGTTGAGACTTTCGAGTTTAAGTGAATTATTAGCTTAATAGAGCATATTTTTTTTTTCCAAATACACGTTTTATTTTCAAGTGGTCCATTATGTAAACTTTATTGTAGTCAAAATTTGACACAGAGGTGATCCATTATTGCCTAGGACTATGAAAATTATTCTTCGTGTAATTTGTTCGTTTCACATTTTATGTTCAATATTATGCCTTAAATTATATGATTAAGGTAAGAGTATAAATAAATAACGAATAATCAAGTTGATGTGTCTATCCCTTGGTCTATCCATTCAGACGAGACTCTATGTTCCGAGTGACCTTCTACTGGCATTTAAAGTAAACATACGTCTAAAATCAGTGGCAGTCTTTTTTATTTTTCCGAAAATAAATAAAAAAAAGCACTGGTGAAGTTGTTGACTTGCAGTCCTTTGAAGATAAAATGTTGGGTGCCATCCAGCATCCAGCCGAAAAGGTATTTTTGTGCTGAGTGAAGGCGGCCACTTCTTGACTTAATGACATAAATACATAACTACTATCGAGTCATATTTTTGGAATCATGAAGTTTATACAATTACCGAGACAATTACCTAATCTCACAGATAAAGGAAATCATTATGAATATAGGTATTGTCAAAAATCTCTGATGCTTACATTTCATCCACCACAAAAATACCAGATTTAATCCTGTGAATATTTTTGTCTTTTTCTAATGCGGGTACCATTTGGCAATACGACTAAATCATTCCGTTTGTCGTAGTGATACGTTATTGCTCAGATTACTGTATTATTTTTGTATTGAGTAGTATTAGGTCATTGGGTTTATATGTTCAAAATAGAAAGTTTTTGGAACGAACTCCCTCTAATCGAAGTTAAGCACTCCAAAAACCAGAAAATGCCTGATGAGAATGTTTAAGATTTTAAATTAAATTACCTATATCAGGGATAATAATATCTATTTGTTACCTGAAATATTTGCTACAAAATCGGACAAAAAAAAATTAGCTAATTAAAAGGAAAACATATCACAATTTCACATAGGTAATATCAGAATAAATAAAGTGCCAAAATGTTCATTTTGGATGAGAGGAGAAAAAAATATCAACTTTCCAAGCATTTAAATTTGGAAGATGATATTATAAATAAATTAACTAAAAAAATTGTATAAAATAAGTATAACTAGAAATACATGAACAAAACAATAATAAACCTGTAAAATTGACAAAGCTATATACACAAAAAATAAGTTAAGTTAATTAAAACTAGAGATTCTAAGTAGAGATTACCTTTGTATAAAGCTTTTCTAAACGAACAGAGTATTTTTATGAATTAACTAAAAAAATTGTACATATAAAATAAGTTAAGTTAGTTAAAGTTAGAGATTCTAAGTAGAGATTACCTTGGTATAAAGATTTTCTAAACGAACAGAGTATTTTCTAGAAAGTTTACTCAACCCATTATAAATATTTTCTAGAGACCATTTCAAATTCTCAAACCTACGATCATTCTTTGGCTGTTTCTTATGCATTAACATAGTGTATTTACTTATTTCTGGAGCAAACCTGTACGGCAGTATATTCTTAGCCTCCAAACGATTATAAAAATCATCATCCTCACCGCCCCAGCCATAAAACGAATTCGACATTCCATTCACATTTTCATACTGGTCAGATAGAATAGCAACGGCGCCTCCAAATAATTTAAGATATGGTAAATTATAACGAAATGTGTCTAGGCTACTGGACATGTGTCTGGGCCTTTTGGAGCATCCATATAAATTTCCTTTGGTAAGTGGAATGAGATCAACGTCGTGCAGAATCAGGCAAGTGTAATTTGAATCCATAGCTAATTGTGCCCCAATATTTATCATTTTGGCTCTATTGAACGGTAACGTATCATTTTGTTCTACTACTATTAGCTTGTAATGTATTTGCTGTTGTTGGAGGAATTTATGCATGTAATTAACAAATATATTCAATTGCTCAGTTCGGTTTCTATATGGTACAACTATGGCGGTTTTTATCAAGGGTACACAATGCTTAGGAATGAATTCTCCACCAAATAAGGGTGCAATGTAATTTTGTTGCTTTGTTATATCACTTACTTGGATCACATGACTGCTTGAAACAATATCTTCGTAAGTACAATTTGGCTTGTTACTGAAATGAGGGTGGTTATTAAGTACAATTTCCTTCAATACATTTTCTTGAGCTACGTATTCGTAATGCCTTGCGTGTCGGGCTGGAAAATAGACTGCTACAAATAGTGCTGTTAGGCATAGTAGCTGAATGCATGTTGTGAGCATGTTTAGTTTAGTTACATTTTGTGTGCATTAATTTGTCGTTTCTTGGTTAGTAGATCGAAGATCAAAGTTTAAAACAGCATCATCGCTCATTCACTCATTCAACACAGTCTATTTTCCACCTATTTTTTTTTTTTTTCGTGAGTGAGGTGAGGTTAGGACCGACTTGAGATTTGTTATTTCTGATTCTGCTGGCAGCTGGAAGAGAAGGAATGCGGACGACTTATCGATACTTTGAAAACATCGATTTAAAAGTTTCAATTTTCGATTTTTATATCGATATTATTTCATTCTCTGTTGATAAGAATAGATTTTACTTTTATATTAGCCCTGTTCAGCTTCGAAAAAAGGACGGTTCTGGAACAGTTCAAAACAATCGCAGAGTTTATCAATAAAAAAAATGACAACGGCTCGGCTTGTGGACCGGAACCGCAACGAATCCCATATTTCATAGAAATGTTGTAAGGTAGGCAGAACCAATTCTTGGGGAGAACCGATATAAATTAATCGATTTTTACCGGTATTTTTCGGTTTCAAGATTTCATAAATTAGGCTGTTTGCGTATCGTATAACTTTGACACTCTAATGAGCGGGTATTATAAAACTATTTTACCAGATAACTAAAAGTTAACTTCTGGAATTACTTATGGCGGGTATTATAAAATTATTTTGATAGGTAACTAAAAGTTAACTTCTAGAATGACGTTACTTCTCATGTAATTCCAGAAGTTAACTTTTAGTTAACTGCCAAGCTAGTTTTATAATACCCGCTACGAAAATTTGACAGGCACGTGACTGACTGGATCAGACAGTTTCAATTCATAGAATGTCGAATAAATGTACTTAAAAACCAAATTGCATAAAACAAAAATCGGCGCAATCATAACCTGGGGTGCAAACACCCTACGTCAAGAAACGACACGCTGCCTACGTCATAACTGGTAATTTAGCGTGTTGGGGGACTTTTTATTCATTTTTATAATAAGAATAATATTTATTATTTATTTAAAAGTCTATTCAAATGGCAATAAAACACAACTTAAGCCTAGTAGGTACTCATAACTGCGAAATTCGCATTTTTTTGACATTGCGTTGACAATTTGACGTTTTATGCGTGTATCAAACGTCAAATTGTCGAAGCAATGTCAAAAAAATGCGAATTTCGCACTTATGAGTACTAGGCTTTACAGTTTGTATTTTTGAACTTTTCCGTGTGTCATTCATAAGGCCGGAGTTTCATATGCATCCGTTTTTCCGTCAAAATATGTCCGAAAAGTCTTCTATTTTGACATATTTATATACGATTATGTCAGAATAGAATGTTTTTCGGACATATTTCGTCGGAAAAACGGATGCATGAAAATCCACCCTAATACGGCCACCTGTAAACCTCATGAGCTGACTGGCGAGAACACAAAAATTTATCATTATTAATAATCCGACCCAGTGTTGCCACAGGCGCTGAAAATGTCGTCCCAGACTATATTTTTGATAGGGGCCAGATTTCAGAATATCGTGCAAACCGTTTTCAAATCAAGAAGAAGAGAGAAAGCCCGCCACAGGAGCCGCCGGAGGTTTTCGTGTGCTACGCCCAAAAACGTTTATTTTGCATGAAAAAATAATGATTTGGCTTGTTATGGAGAAACGGGCCAGATTCGAAACAGTGGCGGATCTATAGCACCATTCTAGGGGAGGTAGAGCTTCTCAACCAGTAGCGACTCGTGGTCTATACTTGAATGGGGTTCACATCCAAAGTAGGGCCCAGTAGGCGAGCCGAAGGCAGACATTTTTTTCGGTTGCCACGCCCAAAACGGATTTTAAGCCTCCAAAAAAATAATTTGTGTTTTTTTTTCAATGAATAAAATTTTCTTGGGCCCCTCTGTGGGGGGGGGGGAGGACATTTTCTATGGCCTGAGAGTTCCACTGAGCCCACAACGCCTTGTAAATGAAACTCTTGTTCGACACTTCCCTCCATTCTGGCCTACATTCATCATTTTTTTTAAGATGTAGAATTTGTCCGATGTCCTGGTCTGTTTCTTGATCTGCTCTCATTTGTTTGATAATTTATTTATCATCGACGATAACACCCGTTCTTCTCACAGCCGGACCAGTGTTTTTCTCATGCATACCGAATCTGTGACAATATGCTTGCAGTCTGCTTTGCATGGCCGTCTAGACAGGGCGTCAGCATTTTTATGCAGGTTTCCAGGTCGATGTTTAATTTGGAAATCGTATTGCTGTATAATTTCTCAATCCATCTAGCAAGCTGTCCTTTAGGAATGTTCATTTCTAAAAGCCATTTTAGAGCTGCGTGATCCGTTCGTATTAGGAACTTACGTCCTTAGAGATAGTTATGGAAATGACCGACTGCTTTTACTATAGCAAGCAACTCTTTTCTGGAGTTCTGGTGACACAATAATTTCGTTCCGGCTTTGATAAGGTTCTGCTACGACATGCTCTTGTGAATTTGTGAAAGGACAGCTCCAACACTGGTGTTGTTTGCATCAGTGTCCAAAATCAACATTCCTTTCTGATCGGGATAGGACAACACTGGGCTTGTACATAATGCTCCTTTTAATTTTCTAAAAAGCGGAATCGCATTCTTGGGTCCAATTGAATGTTGATTTTTCTTCCGTTAATCGATGAAGCGGAGCAGCTATGTTAGCGAACACTTCTACAAATCTTCGATAATAAGAACATAATCCTAGAAAAATCCTTAGTTCATGTTTGTCGCGTGGCTTTCGCCAATCCCTGGCAGCATCTATCTTTCCTTCCATAACTTGTATGCCATCTTCAGATACCACGTAACCTAAGAATTCCATTTTCTTCTGAAATAGAAACACTTATTTGGATTGAGTTTTAAGTTGGCATTCCGGAAGCATTCAAAAACTTCTTTCGGATTATTGAGATGTTCTTGAAACGAATTTCCCACGATCATGAAATCATCTAAATATACCAGGCAAGTTCTCCATGTAAGGCCTCGCAAAACAAGATGCATCAGTCTCTCAAACATAGCAGGAGCATTTCACAATCCGAAAGGCATTACGTGAAACTGGTTTAACCCGCTTCCGGTACTGAAGGCAGTTTTCTCTTTGTCATCTTTGTGTATTGCCACTTGCCAGTATCCACTCTTAAGATCCAAGGTGGAAAACCGTTTGGAGCCCGATAGAGTTGTTAATGTATCGTCCATCCTCGGACGAAGGAAGCTGTCCTTCTTGGTGACGTCATTGAGCTTACGGTAATCCACACATAATCTAAGACTTCCATATTTCTTTGTAACCAATACAAATGGCGCAGACCATGGACTATTTGACTCTCCAATAATTCCCTTTTGAAGCATTTTATCAATTTGGTTTTCCACTTCCTGTTGTTTGGCTACTGGCATAAGTCGAGGTGGTTGTCTAATTGGGTGTGCCAATTCAGTATCAATTTTGAGTTGAATTAAACTGGTCCGTCCGGTTTGATTATCCATCACAAATACGTCTGCTTCTTTCAAGATGAAATCTGTGGCTTCCTGAAGTCTATCTGGATCGAGGTGTTTCCATGATTTCTCCAAAGTCTGCATCAAGGTGCGTCTGTATCCGATTTCGATTTTTCAAAATGTCACTTATTATCTGATGGGTCACAGTTCGATATTTAATTAAGTTTCGAGAGTTCCAATGATATCAACTTCCTTTATTTTAACTGTTTCAGAAGAAACATTGGCAATTCTTATCATAATGTCTCCATTTGTTCTTACTAGAGTCTTTCCAACGAGAAATTTTTCTGGTTTATCTCCAATAAAATTATGTGCTAATCCAACGCAGCACCCAGGGTTTGTTCCCAATTTTCCACAAATGATCAGATCTTCTCAGTAGTTCCAGGAATCCTCACAGGGTTTGTGGCCAGGATTTTAACGGCCTGGGATTCTTCTTGTGTAGTTAGGACAAATTCTTCATTACCAAATTTAAGGATGTTCATAGAAGGATTGAAAGAGAAACAATGTTGGCCCATCAAATCCATTCCCAAAATAAAATTATCCTCTATATCGGCGACTAATGTTTTGTGCCTACTTGAACTGATGCCGATTCGCCCGTGACTGTTCGTAGTGACAGGTTTCTAGTGAGCGGATGGATCACCCGAGACTTGACTAATGTTTTTCCAATTATAGAAACTTCAGCACCCGTATCAAAAGTGATAGTTTTAAATTCTCCATTAATTTGTCCTTCGAATTTCAATCCTTTATAATGACTGCCCAATGATCTTATGTAAACAACTCTGGGGGCATCATCGTCATTAGTACCCAGCATTCGCGCCTCCATACTGTTTAGTTCTCGTTTCCCTGTCTGTTATAAGAGCTGGCGTCTCTAGATCTCGAAAAGCGTTGGTAACGATCCCTAGATGGAGAGGACATTCTTACTCTATAATCTCGTTGAATATGTCCAAGTTTATGGCATCGGTAACATTCTACCCGGTTTCTCGATGTTGCTGTTTGTCTGGGAGTCGTTTCCCTTTCTGCTACCTTCTAGTAATAGTTCCTCCATTCTCTCCATGAAATTACTCATAGCATTCTCGAAGCTACCATCCTCCTTTGACAATTGTTTATCCTTTGGGTCTTCAATGGACACTGCTCGTATTCTGGGTCGTGAGGCACCAAAGATTGCTTCGAGTTCCAATTCTCGGACAAGGGCTTCGGTATTTTTTCTGAACTTAGACATTCTCGGTTTCCCTGGAGCTTGGAATCTGTGAGACCATCAATAAACGCAGATACTGTCATCCATTCCTGCATGTCTTCTCCAGCTGCAGGAAACGCCAAACTCACTAGCTTTTTTAACTTCCGATTCGAATTCTTGTAAAGTAAGTCTCGCCGGGTTTTTGAATTCTTGATTTAACTTGAGTTCTAAATACTTCTTGTCTGTAATAATCCCCGAAGCTCAATTCTAACGTCTAACTTAGATGCTGATGATTCTGTTGGTAGATTAAAGGAATAGACTGAAGAAGATCTAAGGCAGGTCCTCGTAGCGCCACTATTAGTGCTGTAGCTTTTTCTTGATCATTCCATTCGTTGGTGTTTTGCAGTGCAGTGGAACTTGACTAAAAATTTAAACATGAAAATATTACTATAAATCATGAGAATATATTATGTTAAAACATATATCAGCGAAAAAAACAAATTTTTTTGTCGCAGACGG